TTATATATTAGATACTTAAATTATTATTAATAAATACATATATATGTGTATTACATTAAAATCATTAAAAGATTTGAAGTGAAATTAATTTTTTCAGATATGTATAATAGTACATTTCCATTAATTTAGAAATTTGTTTGAATCCATAGAATAATTTTTCTAAAAAATAAATATAAAAAAGAAAGATACCAACCTAAGCATAGTAATAAAAATCAGGTTATTGATAAAATTAATATGGCTGGAATAATTGATCATAAAACTTATATAAATAGCTTTTACATTGCTATAATTATATTGAGTTTCAAACAATATGGCCTCTAAAAATGTCATTAACATGACTACCGTAGACCATCCTAAGACAAACCATATTACTCTTATATGCAGCTTGTGATAATTTGTTGTTATTCCGAGCTTTTCCAATGTATCGTCCACAATAGTAAGCTTTTTCAGACAATTTTTAAATTTCTAATTTAAAATAACAATGCGTAATGAACAAATAATTATTGCTAATCCTAAAATTTTAGCTCTCTTATATCTAATTATATTATTTTATAAAGAGGTATAAAAAGAGAGATATAAATAAAATATAAATATTATTCTTTTATTTTAAAAAATAATTTACTAAATATATTGAGAAAAGAAATTTTCCTAATAACTTAGAACGCATTAATATATACATATTAATATATTTTATATTCTTATGATCACTTTTTAAGTGAGGTAAATAACATAAAAAATTATAAATTAAAAATGCAATTACTATTTTAAATATTAAAGTGCTATATTATTTTTAAATATTATTTTTGTTTTATAATTAATATAATTTATAATCGAAATCATTAACATAAAAATATTAAAGTGCTATATCATTTTTAATATTATTTTTGTCTTATAAATAAATATAATTTATAATCGAAATCCTTAACATAAGCGCTTAAGATTTTCTTACTTTATCGTAATACATTCCAAAAGCAATTGACATTAACATTACCAAAAAATCTAAGTAAAGGCAAATATGATATATGATATTATATGTAATGTAAGATATTATTGTATAATTGAAGAGGAAATAATAAATCGACCATAATAGTAACATATATATGAAACTGAACCACGGATTTAAATAATCTGTAGAAAATTCGATAATTCTTAAACCGCACACAAAACTGGTTATTAAAAGTGGTGTTAAAATAATCCGAATGTTGTTAGTCATTGTGCACACCATTGCGAACTGCATTTTTTGTCAGCCAAATGTGCTAGTTGCATCGTATAGTAATGATAATGGATCTTTAATTTCAATTGAGGTACTCGTAGATATTGGAATAATCAATTTATTGCTATCATTAATTTGTACCGTAACTTATTGAAATAGAAATGAGATGATAGATATGTCATCTTCTTCTACGTCTATGATACAAATATTAATGTTACGTCATTTACTGACATTTTTATTTTCATTTCTTAATTCGAAAATTTGTATATAATATTATATTACATGTATCTAAAAATATTATCAATTACTGACATAGCATCGATTTTAAACTGTGACTTTATATATTGTGTGTGTGTGTGTGTGTGTGTGTGTGTTGACAAAAATAATATATTCACTAATTGTAATATATAAAAATTTCTTTGATATATGTATGTAGGTTTTCTATTATCATATACAGTATTTTTCTATATTTTATTAAAATATATTTTTAATTTTAAAATGTACAGTTAAAAATATTTAAAATAAATTGTTGTGTATATTATAATCTAAATTATAATCTAAATTATTATTTGTTAACACTTCTTAAAGTTATTTTCTAATATATTATATTATTACGAAATATTAATCACATTTCTTTAAAATGATTGCTTATTTATGTACGCTTGTATTAATAAAACTACAACGGTCGTAATCGATGAGCTGAACTGAAAGACATTAATTTCATTATTTTTTTAAATAATTATTATTGTCAACTTAATTATTCATAGTAGATAATTATGTGACATCTTGCAACGTACCCCGTAAAGAAATGTGTAGCTAAATTGAAAAAGTCCAATTCCGTGGAATCTGACTGGCGCTTGAGTTATTTGCAATAGAAACTGTGATATCTATATTAATATAATAAACTGTTTACATATTTATGATTTTTTTATTTTTGCTCAACTCTAAATTATGGTTTATTTTAATAATTTTTTAAATATAAAAGCTAAAATATTAAGACTTACATTTTCACGAACTTTAATATCACAAGTAGAATATGATATTTTATTTATTAAATTTCCTGTTGTAGTCGCCTGAAATCAGGATATACAAAATAATATTTGAAAAATAATTCTTTTAATTTGAAAAAGTCATGCAAATTTTGATATTTAATAGTTAAATAATTGTTGAAAGAAAATTCTAGATAAATACATTTTGAGCGCCTGAATGCGCTCAATATTAGTACCTTGGCGCTGATTTTTTCGCACACATAGTTAATGAAGAAGAATTTCAAAACGTTTTGACAAAGCCAGATTGTCATCATAATGATGTATAGTATTTTATTAGATTTGATATGATTGGTAACAAGTATTACGCTGAAAAGTTCACGTAAGTCGAGCGCTAACCAACAAAAATTACACCCCATTTTGAAAGTCATTTGTGCACCAAATATTGAGTCTACCTCACGGGATATTTTACGTAACTCCGAATGAAGATGTCTGTGTATATATAAATGCAATATTAAATTTTACTATTCAAAACTATAGTTGATAAAATTTATATAAACACTCTTGTATATACATTATGATCCATATCATCCATTCGTCGTCTGAAGTTTGTGAAAATCTATGTTGTATGGAATTTTGCCAAGCTCGCTTTATTCCGCGTTTGTTATCTTTTGTTAAATCTAAAAGATGTTGGTTAACTTGATCAAATTTTAATCCTATGTATCTAAAAATGTAAAAGAAAATTATAAATACATGTAATGTAAGAAGTAAATTTATTGTCACATCTTGTATGTTAATATATATCTGAAAAAATTTCAAAGAAAATTTATATTTTTATGGATTATAATATAATACTATAAATTATATTATATATTTATACATATGATTGTGCTAGAATAATTTTCATATAAAAAATACCAACCTAAAAACACTTGCAATAATCAAATCGTTGAGTATGTTAATATAACAGCAATAATTTCGCATAAAGTTAGCATACATAATTGTTAAAATATTATAGTCATATTCGTTTGTCATCCAATATGCCGCTGCATAGGTCATAAATATGATTGTTAGGAACCATCCGAAGATGAGATACATTGTTCTTTCATGTAGCTTGTGATAATCTGTCGTTGTTCCAACATTTAGCAATGTATTATCGATAATGTCGAATTTCTTCAAACAATTTCTGAATTTCTATCACAAAGAAACAATGCAGTGAATAAATAATTAATGTTTGATAATTCTATGTGTGATAAATCTTATATCTATATTATTAATAATGTATAATGTATATCTATATAATTTATTTAATATAACTAGTAGCTGTAACTTTTCCAAATTTGAATTGAAAGATGCATTGAAAAAATTCTCAACTTAAGAATATGCCACTTATCTTTAGAATACATATTAAAATAGGCGCCAAGAGGATCTTCTCTTGGCGCCTATTTTAATATATATTCTAAAGATAAGTGGCATATTCTTAAGTTGAGAATACAATTTTTTCAAGGTAGTAGATGTTAATTTTATATATATATATATATATATATATATATATATATATATTTTTTTTTCTTATACTCTACATGCAATAAATTATTACTAAATATATCAAGAAAAGAAATTTTAATTAATAATTTCTATCGCATTATTTTTTATATGTGGAATATTGCATGTCTTTATGGCAATTTGTTTTGTTTTATATGAAAAAAATATTATTTAAAATTTGTAGCTATTTCAAATACGAAAAATATTCAAAATTAAAATTGTTTAATATTAGTATGCAAATAATTAATAATTTCTTATCATACATACCTTATCATGATACATTCCAAACCCAATTGACAATAATGTTATCAAAATATCTGTCCCAATACATAAAAAGTATGCGTCAGTAAAACGTTTATAAGTAAAGAAAGATATTACTGTAGATTTTAATAAAAAAAAATAAATTGACCAAAATAGCAGCATATAAAAGAGACTAAACCATACTCTTGGGTGACCTATAGGAAATTCGATAATTCTTATACCACAGATATAACTGATTATAAAGAGCGGCGTTAAAAATGTTCGAATGCTTTCAGTCATTACGTTCACCGTTCAATTCCGAACTACATTTCATTTGACTGAATATACTAGTTTCACTAAATGATCATAGCTTATCTTCATAATTTCAATTAAAGCACTTATAGTTATTGAAATGATCGATCGGTTGAAGTTTATATATACTGCGATATTTAAGCAATTTGGATAATGAATGACATGTTCTTTTTACAAAAAAAAGTAAAAATATATATACATAATTATTACATAACAAAATAAAAATACTGCTTTTGATATACTTTTTTTCTTTTTCTTTTCAAGAGTTTATATAATGTTATGATATATATTGAAAATTGTTTCCAAATAATAAAAGATATAGTATCTGTTTTAAGCAATATCTATTTTTCATATACATATATAATCATGTTTTATAATAGTATGTGCTTATAAGAAATGATCGTATATCACTATTTTTTTATTTACGTAGTAATTAATATTCTGTTAAATATTGACTTTATATGTAAAATTATACATAACATTTTATTTAAAGAATGAATAAGATAAAAAAACATATTTGATATAAAAATAAAGTTTCAAAACGTTTTTATTTTGCAATATTCCGCATAAAGAAATGACAAATCTTACTATAATATATAATTGTATAATTACATATTTAAGAGAGTTTGTATTACATGCTAATTTTTAGTATAAATCAATGTCAATTTAAAGTTTTTTTATATATTATATTATTTACAATTTTCTTAATGTAGATTTTGATCAATTTGTGACTGTAGTAATATAACTACAACAGTCGTAACAGATGTGGTAAACTGTAAAAGTAGAAAATAGTATTTTTCTTTTTTAAATATGAATTCAACTTCGTAATACATAATTATAATGACAATGCACGTACTCCTTGAAGGAATTTGAAGCCAAATTGGAAAAGTCCAAGGCCGTAAAATCGTAACGTCGATTGAGACAATTGTAACAATAATTGTAAAATCTATATTATTATAATAGATTATTTAATATAAACATTCTTGTTTTTCTATTATTCTTTAAAAAACTAATGTTTATTTTAGATCATATTTGCAAAACTTATATTAATACTTACATTTTCACACATTTCAACATTGGATGTAGAATACGATATTCTATTTACAAAATTTTTTGTTGCATTTGCCTGAAATTGAAATATCTAAAATAGAATTTAATTTATTTTGTTTTTAATTTAATAATACATAAAACTTAACATTACTGTAAAAAAATCATCGAATCTGAATTTTGAATAAATATGTTTTGAATTTGAATAAGAAAACATACCTTTGCACTGATTTTTTCGCACATATAATTAATAATAACGAGTTTCAAAATATTATGGAAAAGCCAACCTAGACATATACTTGCAAACAATATATTATTAAAATTCAAGATATATTTTTTAAAAAATATTAGATCAAAACAATCTCTAAGATTCATAGCCATGAAACCAAAGTAACATCCCATTTTGATAGTCATTTCTACTCCAAATATCCAGTTTATCTCACGAGATATTTTACATAATTCCAAATGAAGATGCCTGTAATATAATATTAAGTCTTGCTATGTAAATATATCATGGTTGACTGAAGTATTACATACATTTTCTTACATTATAGTCCATATTATCCATTTATTATTTGAAATTTTTAGAAATCTGCATTGCGATGGATGCATAGGATTTTCCCAAGCTTGTTTTATTTTACGATTGTCATTATTTGCCATATCCTGAAGATGTTCGTTGATTTGATCAAACTTTATTCCTATGTATCTAAATATGTAGAAGAAGGTAATGAATAATGTTTATTAACAAATAGATCATATATGCGTACTGTATACGTTTTAATGGCAGAAAAACTTAATATTTTATAGGTAACATACGCATATAAAATTTATATATGTATACAGGGTAGACCAATAACTTTTATAAGTACAAAATTTTTGTATCTCTAAAAATAACGGAGATATTCCAGGTGGATAGAGTTATTGGTCCACCCTGTATGTACAAAGTATTCTGCTATGAAGTCGACGAAAAAAAAAAAAAAAAAAAATATATATATATATATATATATATATATATATATATATATTGCACAATACTAACCCAATAATAGTTGTCATAGTTAGATCGCCAATAAGATTGATATGATTGCAATGATTAATCATAAAGGTATAATAAATAGCTATTGTTGTATTATATTTAAAATGATATTTCAAATATAAAATTAGCTCATAATTTATTAACATAGCTATTGCAAACCATACTAAAACGATTCGTACTACTCTCATATGTAGTTGCTGATAATTGATTGTTGTTCCTAATTTTTCTAGAGTGATGTCCACAATAGCAAGTTTTTTCAGACAGTTTTTAAACTTCTGGAAAAAGATAGAATGCTTTGAATACAAATAAATAATTAACTCTCATCCAGAGTCTTAATTTTATTCTCTAGTAGTGTAATCTCTTCATCGTTTTTTTTAATTAACAGTAAATTCTTTTATTAACAATGATATATACATATGTGTATTAATTTTTGCCAAAGAAATTTGTTAATAAATTATGTTGCTTAGTATCTAGTATATTTTATATTTTGATAGCAGTTTATTTTTAGATAAATGTAAGAAATTGTATTTCTCAATGATTTATTTCAGGCATTAACAATAAGAGACTATTTAAAAATAATTGAAATTATTTATCGGTAGAGCGACGCAGCACAGTGCGCTAATATTTTCTTACCTTATCATAATATATTCCAAACACAATTGATAATAATACTGTAGAATAATTCAGGCCTTGGAAAATATGATGTAAGTTGGAAAAATTATTCGTAAAAGATACCGTTGTATATACGAGGAAATAGTAAAGCGACCATGAAAACAGTATATATAGTAGGCTGAACCATAGTCTAGGATGGCCTATTGGAAATTCGGTAATTCTTAAACCAAATACATAATTAATTATCAAAAGTGGTGAGAAAACTGTCCAGATATTTTTACTCATGATGGACATCGTTACAATTGCAAACTATACTATTACTGTCGATCGGATATGTAATATATGACGGTACATTCGTAATTGTTGCACTTATGTATATTACAATTATCGATCTGTTAAATTTTATATCGCGGGCTATCAAAAGAGTATCTTATGATGAATATATTGTCTGTTCTTCCAAGCAAACATTTATCAATGATCATTTAGCAATGATTATCGATTGTTTTTTGAATGCTTATTGCTTTATTCTGACATTTGTCAAAATAAAGCAATAAGTTTATATGGTTATTGCACGTATTCAAAAATAATAATGAAATTCCAAATAATAATAGAAACAATTTTAATTAACAATTTTAATTAACATTAATTGAAAATATATATATTAAAAAAATAAAATATAACATACAACAGTCTATAAATTTTTATTCAACATATTCAATATATTCAACGTTCAAACTATATAATAACAGTTTTAGGTAAATTACTTTTATATAGTAAAAACGATTATAATTATTTAAAAATAGTTTAAAAAAGCATAGAAAGAAGAGAAATATCAAGTTATCTAATTTAGTTATCTAATTTCTCTGATCGTAATACATTTCAAAAATAATTGTTATTAACGTTATAAAAATGTTTAGTTGAAAATAAATATACAAAATGATGCAATAATGGATATATGAAGCATTATTGTGTATGTGTGTGTGTATCAAAAGAAGAAAATAAATTGAATAAATAAATAAATAAATAAATAAATAAATATATATATATATATATATATATATATATATATATTTCAATTTATTTTCTTCTTTTGATACACACACACACACACACACACACACACACACACACACACACACACACACATATATATAGCAAACTAAATTATAGTTTTGAGAGACTTGCCAGAAGCTCAGATGAAAAACTTGTCACACTGCATATATATATATATAATTGATTATCAGAAGCGACGATAAAATTGATCAAATACTTTTTGCCATGCCATATGCCGTTGCTAATTATACTTTTTTGCCGACTATTATATTAATTGTTTATTGTTGTAATTGTATATGTTATATTTATGATTATTAAAGTAATTGATCTGTTGTAACATATTCATTATATATTGCAAAAACGGCTTTTCATTAATATACGATGTATTTTTATCTTAATAAAGACATATGATAAAATTAAATATTAATGTTGAAATGTAATATTTTAATTTTATATTTTTTTATTTATTGTATGATATATATATAGAATATTGTTTAAAAAATTATTGCAAGCAAGATATGATAGTATAATTTTTAATTAAAAGTATTAATTAAAAGTATAATAATAAAAATACATATTAATATGAATAATATTAATAATATATTCTGCTCTTTATTTTATAGTATCTTCAGGAATGTACGATTGTAGCATAAATATTATGATTGATCCAATATAGTTTACACACTGAAAAAAATTTTCTTTTTATATTATTTGTCTTTTAATAATATGTGACAGATATTTAATTATCTAAGTTAATATTATATGTAACAAAAATTTTATTTTAACATATAATTTTTTTACATATAATGATAATTATATAGAATGATAATTATATATTTATAGAAAAAAAACAAACCTTATATACGAATTTATAACCAAAATAGAAAAATCCGAATGCGGAGATTCTTAGTGGCCTCTGCAATATTTGCAATAAAAATTGCATGATCTGTAAATAATTAATTAAAACTCTAAATTTTACGTAAATATACATTTATTTAAATTCTTTTTTATGTACATTGCTTACATTTTCTTGTGTCTCAACGTCAAAAATTGAAAGATTTGTTAAACTGTTGAGAAATAACTCAGTTCTATTTGCCTAATGTTAGTATAATTCTATTATATATAATGTGTGTGTGGATTAAAATATAAGCTATAAAATACTTATTATATTTTTCGATTAATATAAAATTTACTAATTGTGAAAGATTTTAAGCTATATATCAAGATAAGTGACTAAAAAAGAATACGTTTTAAAAATAAATATATACATAAAAACACATATTCTATTATTTTATTATAATTATTTATTTTTTTATAATATTTTATCTAAATAAGTATACCTGAGTGCAAAGTCCCTCGCAGATATAATTAAAAATAATCATTTTGGCAATGATGACAGTGAACCAAACGTAAGTATTTATAGAATTAATCGTTAATTTATATGTAGTGTCATTTATCTTCGTAACCATATTATACTCATAGAATTCGAAAATAAGCTGAATTGTATAAAGTTGTATTACAATAGTTTGCAGTATCATTTGCAATCCAAATATCCTAGTTAATTCACACGATATCGAACATAATTCATGATGAATATGCCTGCAAAATGCACTTGATGAATGATATTTTTGAAGCATTACGTAAAATATATAATAAAATATAATGAATTGACTTCATGTGTTTACAGCTCAAATTTTATTCATAGTTACAAAAAAATTTTTTTATCAGATTAAATTTTCAAAGTTTCTATAGTACTATATATTTTGTATTGAGATTTTCTATATTTTTAAAAAGCAACTAAATTTTATTAAATTATGTAAATGTATTATTTGTACTTTAATGTACTAAATTGTACAATAATAATAATTAAATGTTATTTTTTTCAAGTATATAAATATTATATATAAGTCTCTTACTATGTGTGCAATTATATTATTATCGTAGTAGACAATTCAAGAACTGCTCTTACTTAAAAAAATGTTTTACTTTTTGATTATCCTTACATTAAGATCCATATGCTTCGCTTAGATATTTCAGTGCCAATCATGTGGCGATTCATTACAGAAAAAGTGGATGTCGCCCAAACATGTCTCACCTGTCGTTTCTTCAATTCTGTTAATTTCTGAATATGTTGGTTAACATGTTTAAATTGAGTTTTTATATATCTGTGTATAGAATACCAAGCAAAATGTAATTTATAATTTATTTACAGATTAAATTTGTATATGATTTGTCTTATTAATGATAATTCAATGTTAATTCGATAATTTTGAGTTATATTAAAAATAATCTTTATTACATTGCAATGTTGTGTACAAACCCAAATAGTATCATGTATTTGAAATCATAAATTACATTGATATAATACGCATAACTTATAAGAAACGGTAAGCATATAGCTACGGTTTGAGATCTTGGTATGCGTATAGAATACCATGGAATATCGATTATAGTTAGAAAAATAGTCAAAATGACCCATTCAATGATCAGCCATATAATTCGTTTGCGCAATTTCATATAATTTTTCGGCGTTCCAAGTTCCTCTAATGTCTCGTTTACAATATTTAATCTATTTAGACAACCTTTAAATTTCTGGAAGAGATATATCACAACAAGAAGAGATACATATTTCGAAAACTACATATAAAGACAAAGATATTTATATACTATTAAACTTTGTATAAAAAATAAAATTCAAACGTGAAGAGATGATTTAAAACTATTTAAATATTATATTGATGTAATATTAAAGTATTAAGATCTTTTAGATCCTTGCACACACAGTTACATATTTCAGATATTTATAATTTATGTGATTATTTTGTTATTTTGATAAAAATAAATAATTGTTTTGAAAACTTTGCTAAATAAAAACGAATTATCATATAATCATATAATTATAATTATATTTGCTAAAATTTGTAATACTTTTTTGCTAATTTTTCTGTTGATACCACAACATGATATGACGCAAGAAAATATTTTTAACATAACATAATAATATTTGTATTTATGTGTCGGTGTAAATTTAATATGTGAATGATTATATTATTATGTATAATGTGAAATAACTTTTATATTAATTTAAGGTAAGATCTTTTTGTAAAAAGATCATATAATGACATAATTTGCGAATATTTTCTCTTCAACTTATTGTTAGATTGCAAACATGTGTGAGATAATATGAAGAATTCATCATTTGCAATTTATTAATTAATGATCACGCTATATGTATCATACCTTGTTATAATAGAGAGTAAGCACCACATTCAACATTCCGATAATCATATTACCTATAACTTGTACAGGTAAATCAAATTTGAAAAGTTTCATAGTTTGGCAAAATATCTTCGCTTTGATGATGAGATAAATATGAAGCGACCATGATATCAGAATATAAAAGATACTGAACAGTAATCTTGGTTGACCTTGAGGATATTCAAACACGTCGAATCCGCATAAGCACAATACGATTAAAAGTGGAAATATAGCCACTTCAACATTCTTTATAACCATTTCTTCGCCGGATTCACCTAAGAACTTACTTTACGAGGCAAAAACTAAACGTCTCTTGCGAATATGAGTTAAAACGTATATTGTCTATATATATATTGATTGATATATACAATTGAGGAGATAATTATTTTTTTAATTCTAACAATAGCTTGCATTAGCACTTATGTAGATTAAAAAATCGATCTGTATGTGTGTGTGTGTGCTGCAAAGAAAATTATTCTTAAGCAAATAAAATAGTTGAAAATTGTAAAAAATTATCTTATCTTATGTTTATATGGATATATCTTGATATATGTCTGTTAATATATTTTGAATAAAATATATTAATCTATATATTAACACGCTATAGTTGCTAATATTACCTTTATTGAGAATTTCTCTCTCTAATAAATATAATTAATTATATTAACATGAATATGTGCATTATTTCTATATTTCTCTATGTATTAGAGACAATTAGATATTTATTAAATTATGTAAATATAATTATTTATTCTCTTATTAAATAAAGATATTGTTAGAATAAATGATACTTTTTTGTTGTAAATTTTCTGATATGATTCTGATTTTATTCTATTATTGCTATATGCTATGTTATTTAAGAACTGTAAATAATTCTTACATTAAGATCCATATGATTGATTTAGATGTTTCAGCATCAGTTCTGATGAATTAGGAACAAAGTGGAATTCGTCCAGGCATGCCTTACTTGTGGTTTCTCCTGCTTCGTTAATTCTTCAATATATTAATTTGTCCTCGAATTGAGATTCAATATATCTATTGAAAAAAAAAATAATAATATGGAATAATTATTTGATAATAATTAGATTGCAGGGAAAATAATTTATTTCTGTAAATAATCTATAGACAATCGTCGCATTTTTTATATGTTTTAATAAAAACCATTTTTGTTACATTTTACAATGTTATCTATATATACCTTATCAATATCATGTTAGATGAATGTCAGATCGTAAATCGTGTTTGAAACGGATAGTTTATGACGTACATATAGCCGTTATGACATAAGACTTGAGAACATGTTCGATGAATCATAAACTGTCGATTGTATTTAAAAGAATTAATGCAATCCAATAATTAGTCATTTAATTTGAATACGTAATTTTATATAATTTTTTGATATTCCACAAGCTTTTCTAATGTATTATTTATTGTATTATTCTAATTTCTTCAGACAGTCTCTAAACTTCTAAAAGACATGCATTAAAAAAATAAAAGCTTTATACAGATGTTAAATATTTCCAGAACTATAAATATATAAGAATAGAAAAATTAATAATATGTTTGAATATTTTCTTTTAGAATTATGAAGAAATATGAGGAAGTATTTATATTTTTTTAATACTTGCAAAATTATATTGAATTACTTTATTATAAAAAAAAACTAAATAGTATGTACGCTGCAAAAATTATATTGATTTGTTCATCTATAGCCAAATAAAAATTTACATTTTTTGAAGAAATATCTCTCGCTCTGATATTGAAGTAAAGCAATATCAAATTATAGACAATTTCAGTTGATTATATTATCAAACATTTTATCTAGTCTGTATAAATACAAAAGAATAAGAAATGGAGATATAGCCTTGAAAATTAATAGATACATTGATATATAGTTGAGAAAATTTTATAATTTTATTAATAAAAAAAAAATATATATATATATACACAGAATTTTGCGTATCTATTCGTATATATAAAGACTAAAGATACAAACTCTTATACGCTGACTATTTGATGTGCATGAAAAATCCTATATATTTATAAGAAATATAAGGAATATAATATCACATATCATCATATATAAGATATCATTTTACGTATATTTTTATGCATACTTTTATAAATTTGATTTTTATACATTTAATTACTCGATGTAAACAATGACTTTATAGTACACCAGAGTCGTATAAGTTAAAATGTACAAACTAAAATGTATATTTGTTTTCAAATATTATTTATTTTGTTTCTTCATTTTTTTAAATAATATAATATTTTTAATATTTTTCAAATGCTGTTGTTTGTATCACAATTATTATAAGTGTGGCAACATTTCCCATAATCTAAAAGAAAAATTGTTCCTTATATTAAAGCCATTCTATTACTTAAGAAAATAGAATAGAGAATAATTGGAATAATTAATATTATAAATTCTGTATAATGAATATCTTATTTTTAATACTAAGATTATAACTTAATAATACTAAGATTATAACTTAATACAGTTTGAATCTAATTAGAAGTTTGCAATTTGGAGATTGATAATCGTGTTATATCTAAATAAATACAAACCCATTGTAAGAAGTTATAACCAAAATAAAATCCAAGCCCAGAAATTCTAAGTGGTCGCCGTAATAAGTGTAATAGAAACTGTGTAATCTATAATTAATTATATAATTAGAAATACGTTAAATTTATAGATATAAAATAAGAATCCTTACATTGTTCTGCGTTTCGACATCAATAGTAAGGTTTGTCAATTTATTGAGAAACAACTCAATTCTATTTGCCTATTATTAATATTAATTAAATAATATTAATATTAAAGATAATTAAAGTCAATAAATAATATTAATATTAAAGATAATTAAAGTCAATATACTAATATGATTAAGTAAATTACTTTTATAATTTTTAAAATGCAACAAAATCGTTTTAGAACAGCTTTGACTGATGCTCAACATAAATAATTAAAGAATTTTTCCCATATCTATATTAACATTTTATTGACGTATATGAATAACAAAATAGTAAATTATATAAATATTATTTAATTATATAGATTATTTTCTATATTATTCTTTTATAGAAAAACATACCTGGGTGCACATTTTTTCGCAGACACAATTAAAAATAATCATTTTTATGATGTTGAATATACCCCAAAATAAAGCTGACAAAACATCGATTGTCATTAAATATATCGAGTATGTACTTATCACCATAATTGCTTTATAAAAGCTATAAGCAACTTGTATTATAGCAATCTGTAATGTGATCACCTGTATTACCATTTGAAATCCAAATACTGTATTTAATTCACGTGATATTGAGCTTAGTTCCAGATGTACATGCCTATAAAAACATTTGATTAACGATCATATAATATTTATTAAATTTATGTATATATTGCTTAAATTTTTATTATATATATATTATAATAGATTTTTATTTTACATCTGTAATTCTTTAAAATTTCGTTGATTACGGAAATCTTTTGTTTGATCTCTCCTTCATGTAATATTCTATGCTTAATTGCCGATCAAAAAATCAACCAAAAGGGGCAAGAGACAGTGACCGCTCTTATTATCTTTGGTTTTAAGCGCTCTTTATCAAGTTATGTAAATACATTTTTCTTTTTTCGTAACACAATAAAGGCAATAAATATTGTTACTTTATCAGACATTTTATCACTAATTTATGACTAATTCTATTATTGTTAAAAATAATTTTAGTACTGTGCATATGTAATAAGTAAGTCTTTTTTCTTTGTTTAAAAATTAAATCAAAATAAAAATTAAAACAAATTAGAGTCACAGCACGATAATTGGAGCGCAAAGAAGAAACATTCATTAAATTTTAAGTTATCATGAGAGATACAACAGCATACAATTATCAATTTATAAAAAACGCAAAATTTGATTTATTGGCACTTAACATGGCATACTATAATACAATTTTATTTAATTTTTCTTTTTTTATACAACTTACATTAAAATCCATACGAGTTGCTTAATTGTTTCAGTGTCAGACATATGTTGATGAGTTAAAAAAGAACTGGATCGCTCAGTGGTCGCCCAGATATGTTGTACTCGCTGTTTCTTTTCTTCTATAAGTTCTTGAATATGTTGATTTATATGCTTGAATTGAAATTCGATGTATCTGTACTCAAAATATAATATAGAATAATTAATTTGTATAATTAATAATTTAGAATATGTGCATGATTTGTCGTTGAATTTCATTTTATAATGAAAATCAGTTTTATTGCAATGTTATCAATATATACCTTAACAGCATTATAAATGTCAAGTCATAGAGCATGCTTAGATGAAACGTATGATTTAGAACGAACGTTTGATATATAGCTATTATAACGTAAGACTTAGGAATACGTCCAATTATCCATAAACTATCAGCCATATTTATGAAGAAAATTGACATAATCTATCCAGTGATTAAACATTTGACACTTATGTGTAATTTTATATAATTTTTTGGCGTCCCAAGTTTCTCCAAAGTATCAATTACAATATCTAACTTGTTCAGACAATTTTTAAATTTCTAAAAGCATTACATCGTATAGAAAGGGAATATATATTCTGAGAATTACGCATAAGTAAGATAGGGATATTTGTAATATTATTTAATAGTATCGAATAATATTAAAGTGTACAATGGTCTTTAAAATATGTATAGAGTCGAAAAGATTTGAGCAATTTTTAGATATTTATGTTTTATATATATACATATAAGTGATAAATTAGATATAATAGTAGTTTAGATTTATCTTATATTTTACATCCTATATTATTATTTAAATTTATTTGTTTAGATATTTTTTAAATTTGGATATGTGATTATGTAGTTTTAATGTGTTACTATAAAATGTGTGTGTGTGTGTGTGTAATCTATATCATTTTCAATATGTTGCAATATTTTGTTTTAAATATAATAAAAAAATGTTATATGCATATTATCACTTTTTTAATACTTGCAAAATTATTTTAAATTGTCATACCTTGTTATAAATCAAGCTAAACAATATATATGCTATTGAAATACTTGTGTAAAACATAGTTATTATGGGCATGCCAATTTCAAATTTATTAAGAAATATGTACGCTTCAATAAAGAAGTATATATAAAACAGCCATGTCAATAAAATATAAAAAATGGTAAGACATAATCTTGGTCGATTTCCAGGAAATTCGAATACTTTGAATCCGCATAAGCACAACACGATTGAAAGCGGACGTATAACTACTTGAATATTTTTCATCGTCGAAATTGAATTGTACACTCACTTTGTGTCTGTTATGATACTATAAGAAAGTACTCGACTTTGGTCGGGAAGATGTTATCATAATTATAAATTCAATATAAATTACATTTGCACTTAAGCAAATTAAAAAAATTGATCTTGTAAAGAATAATACCTATTATTCGTTTTAAGTATGAACAAAACAACATAGAGTTATTATGAAATAAAGAATATGTAATGAAGTTACTTAAATTTATGTAGTCTTAAGTTTTCATAGGTTATTTTGTTCCACTTTATATCTAAAATAATTTTTTTAAAAATAGATTGAAAATTTAGAAATAAGTAAGAATAAAAATTTATTTGAAAGAATGAGAAACGGACGTATATTGGCATTTTATTTTTCATCATATACAGAGAATAAAATCATATATATGTATATATATATATTCTCTTCATTGTTTATTTTTATGTATTTACTTAATAAAATTTACCATTATCAGATGGAATAGCATGATGTGGATTAGGAATATGCATCTGTATTATAATCACTAAGACGGTCACAACTGAGACGTAGAACTAAAAAAATATACAGAGCTTAAATTTCTTTATCTATTTATAAAAAAATATATTTTTGCTCTTTTTCGATAAAAAGACTTTCTTAAGAAAAAACACTGTATATACTACTTTAATACAATTTTTTTTATATATGTATTTTATTTGATATTAATTTATACTTTTTTATAGACACACTGTAGCATACCTTACGAACAAAGTTATAACCAAAATTGAAAAACCCCATACCAGAAAATTTTAGCTCTCTCTGTTTTATTTGTAGTATAAATTGTAGAATCTAAATTTAAATAAATAATTGATAAATGTGAGGTACAAACATAACGTATATACGGAACAGTTGAATAAGAATACATCATATGAAATTATATATACTAAAATATATTTTACCTGCTCTCGTAAGTCTTCTTCAGGATTTTTAGGGAATAATTTGTAAAGAATTGCTATTGTCTCATTCGCCTAAAATCATATACAAAATTACATTAACAAAATTACATTAACAAAAATTTGCTATATTACTTGAAAAATTAATGTAGAAATGATGTCAAATATTTTTGGATGAAAATTGTTTAGCAGTAATTTGATTTATCATCATATTTTTTGTTATTACAAATTTTGCAATATTTGCATATTGTTTAGTCTTTCTATATTAATTGTAATTAATTGACAATTATTTCATTTTATTACCTTATTACAGAGATTTTGACACATAAGATTTAGCGCGAGAAACTTCACGTTATGTACGACACCCCATATGTAGGTAAATACATTATCCAGGACTTGTCCAATTACAATAGCTGCATTTCTATCTATATATGACCGATAAATGTGACGAGACACATCCACGAACAACACAAAGTAACATCCCATTTGTAGCGTCATTGAAATGCTGAATATTTTGTTCAGTTCACGTGATATGAGGCATAACTGTAGATGGATATGACTGTATCGAATCATAAAAGTAATTAAAATAAGTTACAAGAATGTGTAAAAAAATATAAGAAGAAAAGTATGTAGAAACATATTTTCTCTATACTTGTTGATTCATTCTGATTTCTAATTACCTTAAAATCCATATATACTGTTTACGTTTTTTGATTTTTATTCTTTGTTCATCAATTAATTGTAATGTTAATTTATGATGTCCTTTGATATACCCATCTTTTAATATATCATGAATATATTCGTTAATCCGTTGAAATCTGGACTTAGTGTATCTAAATTTAATGAAGAATTAGAGCTGAAAAAAATTCGATATCTAGACAGATCTTAAATTTAAAAACTTAGATTATTTGAGCCTTATTTTGAAAGTGGCCTAAGTCCATTTGTCAATTATTTTTTGTTGACTGTAGTAACGTGTACAACTTGAAGTTGAAACGCAAACTCTTAAATATCTCAATTTAAATATAAATGGACACTTTCAAAATAAACGGCTCAATTTGGTGTGTGTGTGTGTGTGTGTATGTATATATATATATATATATATATATATATATATATATATACACTTGTAATATTAAGTTTAATATAAGAAGAATTATATCTTTTTTCCCTATTTTTCCCTATTTTTCTATCTTATATATTTATTATTTTAATTATTATTTTAATAATTTTTATATTTAATTACATATATAAAAAATAATGTTTTTTAAGATCACATTATAACACTCTTTAAATAAATAATGTTAATTGAAATAATTTGAACTCAAACGATATGTATATTAAAATATTAAAAAAATACATATCAAAATATCTACAAAATTTAGAAAATTTCTTAATTTTTTATATTTTTTATATTTAAATATTTTTAAAAATATTTTTGTTACACATGATAAAATAACTTAAAAAATACATATATGTACTGACCTCAGAATAGTTACCCAGATCAAAACATTGAGAGTATTGATGTGAATTAAATGATTTGCCACAAATGGAACACAGATACGAGTGAGACTGAAATATTCGTAGTTCAACCACAAACTGTCAGATGCATTTATGAGAAAAACTAGTGCAGTCCATCCAATTATTATCCCAATTACCCAATTGTACAGCTGTCGATACTCTTTCGGCGTTCCGAGCATTTCCAACATGTCATCCACGATGGAAAGTTTACTCAAACACATTTTTAATTTCTTAGAATATAACATCAACTAATTGTATAATATATTAGAAATACTATTTAGTAATAATGAATTATAAATGTTTTCTTAAAAAAGGGTCATTAATATCATTATTAGTCTTTAAAATATAAATATTATTTATTTAGAACAGATGGAGAAACATATAATATATAAATACAAATGCATTAATTTTTAAATATTTTGTCTGCGATAAATAATATGATGTAAGTACAAATTAAAGAAGCATTTTTTAAATTTAAATTTGTTTGTAATTATGAAAAATCGAAATTAATTCTCTTTATTAAGAGAGATTTGAATATATGATTTGACACAACAAATGAAATATAATTCTGAATTTTTACCTTAAAACGAAGGAGACTGACAAACATCGACACAATTGCGGTGATTATTATTATTACATTAAACCAAGACATGAATAGATATGCGGTGTAACTAGTATAAACTAAATAATAGAAAAGATACGTATAAAGGCTCCATGTAATCAAGAAATACGAATAAGTAAAATATGGTCTAGATCGTCCAAAAGGATATTCGAAGAAGCCCAAGCCACAGAATGAACTGACGATCAATAGCGGTGACAGAGCTGCCTGGATTGTTTTCGTCATAATTTTTGAATCACCTAACATTATAAATTTGAACTACATTTTGTTATATAAGATATGAATACGAATTTTTGCAAAAGCTCTTATTTTAATTAGCTTCTAATCTCAAAAGTTCTTACTTTCTTTTTTTTGTAGATCCTCTCGGAAACTTTATGAGTATTATTGCGATACTAACTGCCTTTCGACCAGTGAATATCGACCGACATAATAAATAAGTGGACAAGATATTAGATTAGATAGATAGATTATATATTTCTTTCTCCTTGCGGAATTGTTATCTATACATATGTAATTTTACAAGGCCATAAAAGGCCGCAAATTTCTACGATATTGCATCCCTATAGCAAATACAAATTAAGTGAATTGAATGAAATATGAATCATTCTTTTTAAGTGAGAGAATGAAAAGCAAATAGAAATGTTAAATTTATCTAACCTATTATATAATTTTTAAGAAATAACGAATATGATATAATATATCAGAATAACATAACATATATAATATTTCGTAATCTATTTATTACAAATATTATTAATGCAAATAAGAATTTGTGCGCTTGTTATTATTGTATATATAGGAGAAAATTAATATACTTTATTTTATGATTTTAATTGAACTTTATAATCATTATAATATTTTAATTATTTATTTCTAATATTTTAATAATCTTAATTAACATTTAATTAATAATCGCGTAAGATGGTTCTGATTTTGGCAACGTTAGTGAAATGTTAACTTATTATTTTTTTATATTATATATCTGTGTGTATATATATATATAATATTTCTTTAATTTTAATATTTTCTTCTAATTTTATTTTAATATTTCAATATTTTAATATTTCAATCCTCCTATCTTAAATATTTATAAAAAGAAAATAAAATTCATAGCATATTGATTTCGTCGATAAGTAACATAAGCAGTAAAGTTTCCCAGAAATATTATTTATAAAAAAATTGCTATAATAAATTCTTAAAAAAATAATAATAAACAATTAAGAAATTAAATAATAAAAAAATAATAAAATATAACGAAATATAACTAAAATAATAAAACAGTGTTAATATTAGATATACGTTCAAATGAAGTAAACTAAAACTTTTATCAAACTTTACAAAGACTTTAACTCATGCTTTGAATTGAATGTATTTAATTGAATCTAATGTATAAATAGTGCGTAAGTTGTATGCTATGTATGTTGATTTAATTTAAAAAGAAATAATACAACCACATGTTAATTTATATTTTATTTTTTATTATACACAGAATGAGTTATATATGTATAAATAAGTATTTTTCTCAAAAGCATAGATGTGACGTAAAATATTAATTCAATTTCACACTTTACTTTTGTATTCGTTTAATCCTCGATATTGCTAAGCGAAGTGTCATAATACTAATTAAACTCATCCATCTGTATTATAATCACCAAAAGAGTCGCAGCTGACGCATAGAAATGGAACATATGGCTCTTAATTTACATGACAAAATCAGTTTTGTTGAATACCAGAAAAAAATGAATAGAAGATTTTATATACATAAAATAACGATGAAAAATATGTAGAACGCAATTAACTAATAAAAAACTATGTCCACATTTATATAATTTGTATTATTAAAAAAAGTTGTACTAAGTGAAAAATTTATAGCTTACTCTTATGTTAATTTATACTTTGACAAAAAATACAAAAAATACAATACATGGAAGATACATAATCTGTATTTTTTGTAAAAAAATGTTTACAATGTATCTTACGAATAAATGAATATTTTATAACTGAAATAAAAAAGTTTTATTCCAGAAGTTTCAAACTAAAAAACTTTAACTTCTTCTATTTTAGTTTTAAAATAAATTCTAGAGTCTCTAAATTTAAACAAATAATTGCATAAATGTATAAGATATAAACATCATATATATATATATATATATATATATATATATATATGTATATATGTTTATATGTATATTCCTCCTCCCTAGAATAGTTAAAAATCTTGAAACATTACATGAAATTAAAGTAATAATTTATTTGTTCACATAAATTTTCATTAGAATTTTTGTTAGATAAGTTATAAAAATATTCCTTTAGTTTAAACAATTCTATTGTGGCATTCACACTAAAGAGCTTTTGTAAATACATTTCGAATTCTTTAAAAACTAGCATTAATTGGATAATGCAACAAATTATTTCTTTAACCTTAACTTAAAAGTCGAGCTGTAAATGATTCGCAAAGTCTTCTTCTTGATTAAAGAAATGATTTGTCTTATTGTTTATTTTAATAATTATTGCACAATTATTGTTTGTTGTACATAATTTATCAAAAGTCATTATAATATATTATTCTGTTTATAATCAGAAAAATGTTTTTAAAAAATAGGGACTAGGAATGAATGATTAATATATAATTAATATTATTTTTTAAAAATTGTAGTAAATAAATTTGCATTTTATTTATTATATACACACATACACATACCCGCGCGCGCGCACACATATATATATATATATATATATATATATATATATATATATATTATTTTTTTATTTTTTTTTCTAAAAGACCCATATAGATATGATGAATACATATTTTCACAATTTATTCTTATATATGTTTTCATAACTTTTATTAATTAACTTTCATCGGTTGCATCATCATACGGTGATAAATCATAATAAGTTATATGCATTTGCATTATCATCACCAACACGGTTGCAATTCTCGCATAGAACTAAAAAGTGACAGAACATGAACATTTACATGACAAAAACTTGTTCCGAATCATATAAATTGAATAGAAGATCTGAGATGTATAACGATGAAAAATATATGTTGCGTAATATAATGATGAAAAATATATAATGCGCTTAAAATATACAAAAATTAAAATATTTTTTTAACATTACTTAAATATTTTTATAATCTAAAAAAGATCATATAATATGTTTAACTTTTATCTTTTATTAAATTTTATTAAAATTTTAATTTTTCTTAATTTTTAATTTTTATTAAATTTTTGATGTATATTAATTGATGTTTTTGCAAAATGTATAACGTACCTTACGAATGAAATCATAACCGAAATAGAAAAGTCCCATACCATAAAATTTTACTTCCCTTCGTTTTATCTGTAGTATAAATTGTAGAATCTAAATTTAGATAAATAACTGAATAAATATGGAATATAAACATGTACATAAGATGCTTTATGAAATTATGCAGTTATAATTTACCTGCTCCTGTAAATCTTTATCCGAATTATCATTGGACAATTTATGAAGAATCGTTATTGTCTCATTTACCTGAAATTATATTGATATAAAATTGTAGTTTACAAATGACATCGAAATTTTAGATAAAAAATAGATCAAACAATTTAATAAAACTATTCAATGTCAATATTATTCACTAATGATTTTCATTGTGGTAAAATTGGTAAAATCTATTATTATCGTTGAGAATTAAATTTTTTTATTAAGAATTAATAATTATTTTATTCTATTATACCTTATCACAAATCGTTTGACAAATATGATTTAATACGAGAAGTTTCGTAGTATATATAACGGCCCAGATATAAGTAAATAATTTATTTAGAAATTGCTCTAATGTATCTGTTTCCTTGTCTACATATTCTGTGTAAAGCTCGCAACACAATTCCAGAAAGAATGCGAAATAAGATGCCATCTGCAGTGTCATTTGTATACTGAATACTTCGTTCAACTCGCGTGATATGAAGCTTAATTCCAGATGAACGTGCCTACAATCAGATTACAAATGTTATAATCAAATTAAATTACAATTAAGTTACAATGTTAAAATTTGAATAAAGATATTTTTGGTGTAAAAATACAATTAATTATAAGATATCAAAATTTTAATTTAAAGTTTTAATTAAAATATAAAGTTATGTATACTTTGCAGTTTTTACATTGCAATTACATTATAATCCACATATATTGTCTACATTTTTTTTGTCCTTTTGTACTTTGCTGTCTATCTAAAATCAATTTATTTCGTCTAATAGTGCATATTGCATCATCTTTAACTAGATCGAGAATGCACTCGTTGATTTGATGAAATTTAGTGTTTATGTACCTGAATTTAATAAAAAACTGAAATTAAAAAGAATCTATTATCTACAATTTTAAACTAAAATCTGAACACACACATATATATATATATATATATATATATATATATACACATATATATGTATGTATCTGGATATTTATTCAAAATTTATATAAAATTTTGTTTCTTTTTTCTATTTTTTTCTTTGTTAGTTATTATTTATTATACATATATGTATATTATATTTATTATTTTTTGACTATTTTATATATACTATATTTATCTAACTAACAATGCTAATTAACAAAGTCTTACTTTAGATTATATATGAAAGAGAAATTTCAAAATATTAAAAGAAATCTAGAAAACAATGAATATGAAAGATTTAAAAAAGATCTTGGATATTTTTATTATATATATATTGATTAAAAGAAGTTTTATGAAAGTGTACATGTATACCAACCTCAGAATAATTCCCCAAATTAAGCCATTAAGGGCATTTACGTGGAACATATGATTTGCTACAAACGGAACACAAATACGGCTGATGCTGAAATACTTATAGTTTAACCATATACTATCGCATGTATTCATTAAAAAAGTTAATAAAATCCATCCTATTGTTATTTGAACTGTCCATTTATATAGCTGTTGATATTCCTTTGATGTTCCGAGCACTTCCAGTGTATCATCCACAATAGAGAGTTTATATAAACATGTTTTCAATTTCTTAAAGTATTATATAATTTAGTTAATTTAAAATAGGAAAACATATAATAAACATAGATATAAACATAGATACTAAGTCTTTTCTAGACACTGCATCCATGATGATAATACAAATAACGAGAAAAAAACTGATCTATTAAAAATATTACTTAAATATTGATATTTATCTATTTATTTAAAAAGATTGAAATTAATGCTATCAATAAAAAGCACTCTAATATACAAAAATTAAAGCATAATAAATTTAGGCAAATGTAATTTATAATTCCTACCTTAAAACGAAATAAGCTGACAAACATCGACAGAGTAGCGCTAAAT